TGGTTGTGGTGACTTCCTCTGTACTTTCCGTGAGTGCCTCCCGTTAGAACAAGTCCAGCTGTTCTGGTCCAGTTTATTCCGGTCTGGACCGTCGTCTCAGGCTCTGAATATGTTTCTGTGCATGCATGCGCCTTTTAATCCTGTGAACAGAAAGGTATTGTTTCCCCGGTGCTACTACGTGTCAGAGTCAGTGCTGTTTGGGTACTTTTAGTAGGAGATGATATTTGAACAGTCAGAGGGATTTGCTCTGTTCATGGTCTGAAAGTCACCCTCCATCTCTGGTGATCCACTGGCCCTCCTGGAGCTACAAAGCCCCACACGTGTACACTTTTTTTTCTACTCCTGTCGCCAGATTATACGAGTTCACAAAGTGAGGCAACAGTTAGAAATGTGTATGTGAAAGTGTGTGTCTGTGTAGGAGGCTGGTATGAGGTTTAAATCCCTCAGACCCCCTTAGATCAGGTATTGTTGGGGCTCCCTCACCCCCTCAGACTCCCTGCAGGCAGAAGAGAGCCGGCTAGTTGAAAGGCTTTTCCTGGCAGGAGAGAAGCATTTGTTCTCATGTGTCTAGGTTAGCAAATTAAGTTTGGAAACTAAAAAATAGTACTAGGAATATAGAAACGAATCAGCTTTTGTCTTTTCATGCTGCCAGAACTCTGTTGTTTGTCTTGTAATCTCGTAATTGAGGTATGTAATATGTGTTGTCTGAAATATTCTTTACAATGACGCACAGCTCAGTACTCAGTGTAAATATTTATATTTGTTGGCAGATTTGCTCAAGAGCCACATTGATGCCTCATGTGAGAGACTGATTAAATCCAAACTTTTTTTAATAAAGTTTTGTTGTGTTTCGTTGGCGGAAAGTCGTGGAGCAACTTTGCTCTTCAATTTATAGACATAACGCAATCTGCACTTGAAACTGATGGGTTTCTATTATTCTAGACGTACATTTACAACTAGAGATGTCTGTACTCATCACAGTAAAAGTGATTCAGTTTTAACCTTTAGTTAGTTTGTGTGGAAAGAGGCCATATTTTTGCTCATCCATAACTAATATTTTACATAGTTTATGACTGGACACTTGGAATTAATTTGTGCTTTTTCTCAGGTTTGTCTTGACCTGGGGCGGATTGACGCTTTAACTGTGGTAGGACGATTCTCCTGTTGTGAACAGAAAATATGAAACTCAGTTTTTTTTTTAGTGTATTGATTTTTTTAATTCTGCTGTCTGTATATAAATTATTTCCCTACTTGCTTTCACACTTCTCCAAATTAACATTAAAGCCATATTTCTGTGATCTAAACATGAAGTTATCAGGATGTAGCCTAGAATATTTGTTTAGCCAATGTGATGAGCCACTCAGACGTACCTGATGTATCTCTTATCTTATGATAAATTCAGTTAGTAGATGATTATGGCCACACTTATTAAGTAAATGGTGTTTGTTGTGTGAAATGGTACCTCTGCTCTTTTGGCGATGAAGGCAAAAGTGTATTCTTTTTTACTGATATTAGCTGCGGTGGTCTTTGTTTCATGGGGAGGTGGCCGACCTTCACTAAGACTAATGTGTAAATCCTGGTAATGCAGTAACTCGTGGGTATGTGTCTGCAGTTTATCTGTCAAGCATGATTGTCTACAGCATTTTGAAAAAGTGAAGCAATTAGGCAAAAATGTAAGCAAGGAAATGGGCTCGACACCATGTAGATCGTAAGTCACAGGAACAATGTCTGATTCTGAGGATAATAGTGAAGAAACTCTCACCTTGATTGTACATTTGTATCATTATTGAAAACTGCTGGTTGACATCACCTCAAGTTAGCTCACAGAGGTTTCTGTGTAGATGAAATGGATTTAGAGAAGGTGCAAAGTAAGCAGTACTCCGATATGTAGACACACAGTTGGACCTACAGGAATCTCATATGGGGGATTTAAGGCTCACCATGGCCAGGATTTACTGCAGTCTTGGAAAAAGAGGGCCCCTGTGCCTCAATGTGTTTTCTCAGTATGAAACAAGGTTCAAAAGGAACTGAAAGCTGATCAGACATACTACTCCTAATGGCAATGATGCACCATTTCATTCCCATGGCTACTCTGCAGACGCTGGCAGGCAGCTGTGAGGTTACATAAATGTTACGTAAAAGAGCTGCTGGTCTGGTCCCTCTTGAGTTCTCGATGCGCTTCTCAATCAGGCTTGATTCGTGTCGAGATGCAGTTTGATTGTTTTGTTTTGTACTTTTTTTTTCTCTCTCTGCATTGTTGATTTCCTAAGAATGCTCTGGTACATGTTTCTACTTCCAAGTATTGTTCCCTGTTGCAGTTTTAGTTTAATAGATACAAACACCATGCCAGGCCATAGGAGGCTCAGCTCTGTCCTCAACAATCACAATAGAAAACTAGTGTGTGTCAGAGATTGTGCTCATGCATGCGGTTAGCTGTTGAATGCCAGGACTACAGTGTTAACCACAATCCCCTCTTTTTGTTTCTTTGGTCTTTTCTTCAGCAACCTATTTGTTTTCTTCTAATGTTGTTTGTCCAGGATTCATTTCTCATTGCCTAGCAGGTGTTTGAGTCATTCGTATTTTTGTGGGTTTGCTTATGAGAAGGAACAAATCATGAAAATATTATTCCCTCGTCAGGTTGTCGTGATGAAGCAGTTGATCCCAGTAATGACGGGTTTGCAGCCTGTTTCATTATGATTGGAGGTTTTGGTTATACCTGCAATTGCAGAAAAACTGCTTAGCCATGTCTCCCACGGCTTCAACCTCTGTAATTATATCTATGTATAGACCTGCGGGTATGCTATATTTGGTCTCCAGTTAATACTGCTATTCCTAGAACCAAAAAAGGCCTGACTTTACACTGAATGTCTGGCATGATTCACCTGCAATTTATCTCATTTCTAACCCATTTTCTAACTGGACAGCATCAGCCGCCACCCTCACACTTATCATAACTCGCCCATGGAATATTTCCTCAAACAATGCTCCATATTCAAGGCTGTGAGCCAGAAACATAAGGCGATAAATCCTTGCCTTCCTTTTCTAATTAATACTGAGGCAGAGTCTTATGTAG